AAACAATACAATAGGCTAGGCCTAACCCCCTGCCACAACCAAAAACAACCAAATACACCACATCCTTCATTCTACCAATGTGGCCAGCCCATTTCCATACATTTTTGTTGTGTAAATTTGAGGACATCTGTCACTCCAATTTTCTCTCGTATTTTTGTGTGGTTTATTTGGTCTTGTATTCTTATGCCCAGTATCTTCATTTCCCTTGATTTTTGTGTTGTCCTTAGTTTCTTTATGGTGTCTCTGGTTATTGGCTAGATTTGGCTTCCTGATCTTATTGCTGGGACAATGCACTGATTGAAGGTTTTTGTTTTCAGGTATATCATCATATTTTGATCTTTAAGTATTTCTCTGTATTTTTAAAGCAACCTCAAGCCGCTTGTATTATTCTGTTCATCTCATTTCTTTCGTTTTGTCCTCCATATTTATTGTTTGCCCTAAAAATTTATTTTATTCCATTACTTTTTAAAAAGTGTTCTTGTTTACTATGGCAATAGTTTTGTCGCTGGTTTAGTACCGTCATGTATTTGGTTCTATCTTTGCGGATTTTAAGGCCTACTTTTTTGCTTTCGTTATTTATGACGTTTAGGTTAATTTCCATTTGCTGTTCATTTTCTGTGCAAGATACCACATCATCGGTGAATCTGGGTCCTTCAGGTGTTCTCCACCTAGTGAAATTTCTTCACTGAGCGATGCCTCTTTGAATATATCTCCGATTGCCACTTTGAAGTTTGAGTGATATGGGGTCTCAGGGTCTCTTTGCCCTACTCCCTTTTCTGATTTAAACTTTTCTGACACATGATTGCCAAGATGGATTCTAGCGGACACTTCCCGGTAAATGTTGATCAATCATTGGAAGTAACTCTCGTTCCTGTTCATTTCCCCGAGAGCTTAAAAAATTGAAAAGTGTTCGATGGAGTCAATGCTTTTCGTAATCAATAAAACCAACGCATAGCTGTAAAATGTATTCGTGGCAGTTTTGTATTATTTAATTCCATGATTGTAGATGGTCTGTTGTTGAGTATTTTTTCTTCAAAATCCAGCCTGTTCTCCTGGTTGGTTCCCATCGAGCACTCGGGCACTCTTACCTTTCGATTCTGGAGTACTCTTGTCTTGTAAACAGTTTGTGTGTTGGACAGTAAACCTATTGGTTTGTAGTTTTTTTGTCTCTTCTATCTCCTTTTTGAAATACAAGATTAACAATGATCATTTCTGCTTCTTGTCAACACTCAGGTATTGTTCGAGTTTGTAAACTTTTATTGAACGCTTTGGTTATATATTATGTTAGTAGTTTGTCCTCCAATTTTTTAGTATGTTGCTAGTTACTCCGTCATTGGCAGGGGCTTTAATTAAAAAACAATCTTTTTCAGCGCCAGTTCTATTCCTTCTACTGCAAAGTAGGGTACTTCTTCGACGTCTTGAATTGTTTTCATTATTGTTTTGGTGTAATTGATCACGTGATTGGTGGAGAGCGCTCAGAACTTATACATACTAGTATGGGATAGGGAGCTATGAATGCAATCTATTACTTTTATAAATATGATAATAATGATAATAATAATATTAAAAAAAATAAATAAATAAAATAATAACAATAATAATAATAATACAATAAATAATGATAATAATAATGATGGTGATAATAATAATAATAATAATAATAATAATAATAATAATAATAATAATAATAATAATAATAATAATAAAAATAATAATAATAATAATAATATATTATTATCATTCAATGATTAATGTTTGGCATAGCTTCCCCCCCTAAAAGTCTTCAATAGACAAAGCACTGTTTTATTGGTTCCTTCATGGTCGTTGTTGGGTGATGGCCGGCCATGGGCGTGCCGGTCAGACGAGTTGTGGACAGAGTTTTCACTGAAGATTTTCCTTCCTGCAGTCCTTGACTGACTAGTCTAATACGGGTGCCCACTACAGATGGGATCGATCGGACCGATCGCCGACTCGGTCGCCTAAAAAACAAAAGTGTTTGTTTTCAGTTTCAGGCGACCGAGTCGGGCGATCGGCCCGACCCAGCCGTAGTGGACACCCCATATAAATATAACCCGTTGCTACGGGGTTTGATTGGATATTATACCACCGATCACTCTGTCTCCTTCAGAGGAATTATAGCCGGCCTAGGCTCGCTAGTTACCGTTTTCCTCGTGGGCCTCCCAGGGAGGGAACATCGGACTCGCTTCTGGGGAAATTGCCTGCATGACCCGGCGCCGATGGCTATGGATCAAGGAAGCATAGGACATTTTTTCGATCAGTCTGATTATAAACCATCGGTAGAATGGGGTAGACCATTGTTCCTGTCACGATAGAATGGGGTAGACGCCAGTTCCTGCCATGATAGCATGGAGTTGAACATTGTCCCAGCCACGATAGAATGGGGTAGACCCCTGTTCCTGTCAGGTCACGATAGAATTGGGTAGACGCCTGTTCCTGCCGTCGCCTTGTGTGATTAGCATGTTCTGCTCCAGTTTGAGACAGGAAGTTAGACTTGCTGATAAGCATTAATTCCGAAAACCTCCTAACTGAGAGCTGTGCGTTTCGTCTCATGTTGTCGGTTAATCTTCGTCGTTCTATCTATTGCCATTTACTATAAAACTTAGCTTTACAACAATAACGCAGAACGAAAGAATGCACTGAGCCTGCTGGGTATTGTGAATGTTTTCACATTTACTGACTTCCACATAAAGCTCCTCCCTCCAACTTTTCCACGGAAAGCATAGGTTTCAATTTCAGTCACATCTCGGGAAAAAATGGGATAATCTAATTCAGGAACAATAGAGCACAAATCGGACAAAAGCGGTTAAAACATAACGAACGAACTCAAACAACAATTAATTTGAACAAAATGGCTATCGCCTCTACATAAAAACTTTGCGACTTCTTAAAAATCAACCAAGTTATGCTGTTTTTAATATCCTCTATCTGTGCATTGAAAAACAGCTTGATACAAAATCAATAATGCCAATTAAGCTCAGGGAAGGTAGTTCTTAAGTAAATTGTGTACTCCAAGGTTAATCTTTAAATTCTCTCCATGCAAATTCCAACGCGCCACTGGATATGTTTAAAAGCCGCGTGGAATGCTTTTGGTTCGTTATATGAATCTCCTGCTCAACATTGACTATCAATTGTTTGATTGATAATGGACTGTTTGCGTATAGTCAGTCTGTTATCCCCCCCTCCCTCAAGGAAATGACTGAAGAGGTTCAATGAAGGAGGAATGCAGTCACCATTCACTTGCAAGCTTTCAGGTTATAAGGCGTTTCTTAACCTTTCTTGCAACAGTACAAGGGTCACTTTTAATGTGTAGGGTGTGGCCCCCCATCCCACTGGAACCAGGCCTTTTCAACAGCACAGCGCCTTCTCCCCATCCTTCCAAACTTAACCTAAACTTTTTCAGCACGGTGAGATACCCATCTGATGAGACGCTTCTTTTCACCGTTTTAGTCCCAAAACAAGATCAGGCCAATAACGCACCTCTTAAATGAGAGCTTTCAAGAAGTAAAAGTTTTGCGTCCTATCCAGTTTTGGATGAATCATTTTAAAACTTGATATTTCTCAAATGCGTGAGTTGATTTTCTTTATACATGTATTTACAGCGTGAAGGCCCCCCCC